ATATGAATCCTTGCAGTCACGAAAGCTTCAAATCTAGACGCTTAAATTATTATCAAGTATTATTATTATCATGAGCGCACAAACCGCGCGGCCTGGATGCATTCGGCCTAGAAAGCGAATTGTTGTCGTGGGCGCTTCACAACCAGAAGTCAGTCTCCCGGCGCACACGTCCACGGCTCACGATCCACAATCACCTTGACACAATTGCTGGATCCGAGAAAGGAAACTTGAGTGGAGAGTAAACTGGAACACAATTGTTTTGTTTAATTGACACCAAAGAGAAAACCGTGTGCTTAGGGTTTTGTATTACCGCAGGAATCCCCCCCCAATCCCCATTTATTTATTTTTAGGCCGGAGCTTGCTGCAATGTTGACACGGGGACGACGGGGTGCCTCTGACTCTCTTTCACCCCCCCCCCCCCCCCGAACAAGCGCGCCCCAAGGTGTTTCAAACTCACGAGGGTCGGGGCATCGCTCCCAATGTCCGAAGGCGGAAGGGCACAATGACTAGCGCAATGAAAGCAGACGTAATTCAAGTCGCCGAAAGTTACTCGAGCAATCGCTTTCCTCCGCACGGATAACCCCGGGGTTGACATTTAACATTCAACGCGTTTGTAAGCAACAAAGATCCCCCGTGTAGCCTTAGCAGACTGTTGGGGAAAGTGCCGTTCTCTGACGTGGGCTGCTATAGCCGATGAGAATGGACCTGTCGCTTTTTCTCAACTATCCTGAACACCTCCTCTAGAAGCCAGGGTCTCTGGGGAGGTCTGGACCGCGTACCCAAAGCAGCCATTGCAGCTGCATGAGTCACAGTCCTAAACCTCGCCTATTTACGCTCGACATCAGGAGGAGTGGGGGGACGATGCCAACCCCAGCCCCAAGCGATGATGAAATTCTCGCTTGTAACTTTCATCAGCTAACTGAAACGAGGCCACTTTAGGTTGGAATGGGGTCCTGGGTGTACACCCACCACCGGAGTGGAAGAATGGCAGGCGCATCTTACAGTCGAAGGTCAGAGGGCAGATCAGCTCCAGGATAGGTCCTGGTGTCAAGGACATGGGCTCGCATCCACTGGTCCGTCACTATGTAGTCCAGCAGATGTTCTTGCTTGGACCCGGCATGCATCCATGATGTTGTGTGGATGCGCCAATGCCGGAACAGCGTGTTGGTAATTACAAGCCCATGGGCTGCACAACAATCTAGCAGCCTCCTAACCGTTGTTATTGAGCTGATCTGGCCAATGCCCTCCAATCACTCCACACACGCACACACACACACAATGGCGACGAGCACGTGCGCGCACGCTTGCACGTGCTCGTCGCCATTTTGTACGTTGTTTGCCAGAATGCACCAAGCTTCGAGTGCCACCGTCGAGCTTGTCTACTCGTTTGCCACTGCGAGGAGAAGGGGGGGGGCGGGGGGAGGCGTTCGCACGCCGCCGCCGGCAAAGGCCGACTCGTTCGTCAACAAGAGCGACGCGCCCCCCTCTCGATCGAAATGGAAGCCCCGAGGCAAAAAATTCTGGACGACGGCAGATTTTTGAAAAACAGGCAGGGAGGTGCCGGGAAAGTGTGCGGAGGGGGGGGGCGTGATGGCTGCGGTGAAGCCCACGCAGCGTGGAGAATCGGAATCTTTGTTTAGACAGGCGGAGGTGGAATCTGATGAGCTATGAAGCTCTTTTTTGCACAGATGTCCCCATTATGGGCCACGGGGGGGGGGGGGGGGGTGAGCAAAGTTACAAACAGCAAACGATACAACAACAACAACGATAGGAGTGCAAAATAGAGAAAATGGTAAGCAGGTCACTAAATATAAATAAGTAATAACTAATTATATGCGTGCGATTTATCCAGATTGGGAAAGGCAGCAGAAAAAACAACAACAAGATAACAACACCACAGCAGCAGCAGCAGCAGTCCCTCGACATAATGGCGAGACAACGAGCCCACAGACCACACGCCGCGGTTTTATAAAACATGGAGAGAGAGAGGGCCCAGATTGGATGTGCTCATTAAACGTAAAGCAGAAACAATCGCGTCCACTTGTGACGCCACCAACGCGTCGTGTCACCGTCAACTTTTACTGGTAAGAACCTCCTGGTTACACCAGCCCACAGGGGATTATTGTGTCCGTCCGTCGTGCAGGGAGGGGCTGGGTGAGGAGGGAGAGGCTGGGTGGGGAGGGTGGGGCTGGGTGGGGAGGGGAGGGTGGGGAGGGGCTGGGTGGGGAGGGTGGGGAGGGGCTGGGTGGGGAGGGTGGGGCTGGGTGGGGAGGGTGAGGAGTGGCTGGGTGGGGAGGGGCTGGGTGGGAAGTGGGAGGGGTGGGGCTGGGTGGGGAGGGGCTGGTCACCCCGTGGTGCCCTTATAAAGCTCAACGTTTAACCTACTCACGCCGGCTTGTGCCCGCCCTCACAGTCGGCCATATTTGCGGAATACACCACGCCGCCGTTGACCCTGGCCATTGACCGAACAACCCAACGTTCCTACCAGCTCCCTCCGCAGGAATGTGTTAAAGTAGCCCACTTTTTTTGCCCACCCAAATACAGAGGCAGCAGATGGCTGGTCACCTGCTCGTGGTTAAACAGAACTGTGTTAACGTAATGGATGGGGGCCGTCCATAAATGACATCACGCATCTATGGGGAAGGGGGGTCAGACATTTGTGACGATGTGTGACGAGGGGGGGGGGCGTTGAGAAATGTTACGTCACATCAGAATGCACAACTTTAAATAAATATAGACAACACGTTAATTAAATAGACTTTTTAATAAATGTCAAGAGTGCAGCGCCACATTAAATACGCACACCACTGACAATAGTTTAAAGCGATTTGAAGCATGAGAATGCAATCCATTGCACCCTCATGCTCACGTGTCCTTTGGATTGCACTCTCATGCTCACATGTCCTACCTACGTAGATTCCTGCAGTCACGAAAGCTTCAAATCAAGATTGTTCTCCCCCTCTTCTGCTGTGAGTTTCCTCCGGGTTAACTGGGTTCCTCTCGGCCACAGCTATAAGCCACGCGATGCAACCGGTATTGGCCAAACGCCGCAAAATTTAAAACAAAAAGAACCCGCAAATCGCTCAATCGAGAACACTTCTTTTTCTGCTTCCTCTTTTTATTCTCCCCCGCGCTGCTCCGCTTTGGATTCACTGCCATCCAGAACCGGCCCTAGACCTTTGGGGGCCCTAAGCAAAATTTGGTTGGAGGCCCCTTTGATGTATGATTTTTTTCACCCACTAGCTAGCAGTGACTCTAGGGGGCCCTCTGCTGGCCACGGGGCCCTTTGCAATTGCAAGGGTCGCTTAGTGGCTGGGCCGGCTCTGCTGCCATCCGTCCGTTTTCCCACGTTTCTGAGTTTTTCAATAACCTTGCTCGGGTCACGAAACGTGTTCACGTTCATCCGTTACAACTTCAATCGTCCAAAATAAAAAAGAAAAATTGGGTTAGATTGCGTAAATATAAATGTGTCTTCTTGGTTCTTTCGGTAAAGTCACGTAGAAGGGAAGTAATAAAATAATAAAAATAAAACATAATAAAATAATTCTCACGACGTTTCGGCCACACCACCACGCTTTCTTTTAGACGCTGTCGCCTCGACAGACCTGTCTTCATCTGAGGACGGCTACTTGCGTTGTGGCCGAAACGACGTGAGAATTATTTTATTATGTTTTATTTTTATTATTTTATTACTTCCCTTCTACGTGACTTTACCGAAAGAACCAAGAAGATGAATCCCTGCAGTCACGAAAGCTTTAAATCGAAATATAAATGTGTTGTTAATTGCGCAACCGCCCGACAGAGCCAATCAGTAAAGTTTGTCAAATCCCCAACAACCATGTGGATTTGCTCTGCAACACACCCACCGGTGTGCTGTATTAGTAACAAGAATTAGCACGTAAACAAAACGTGATCATTCGTGACTAGTTCAGCACACCGGTGTGTTGGAGAGTAAACCCACTACATGTACAATTCGAGTACGACGTTTCGCCGGTAATTCAACTAGCATCATCAGGCGGACAGACAGAGTTGCGTGCCGTTTGTTTGCTCAGTTCTGCTCGACATTTTCGGCCATTCGGCCTGTGCTCAGCAACTGTGATTGAAGACAAAGGGTGTTTAAATCTTGACTTGAAGCTTTCGTGACTGCAGGAATACATATTCGTTGGGTCTTTCGGTAAAGTCACGTAGATAGGTTCAAATAAAATTTACATAAAACTACGACGTTTCGATCGCAACGCAAGCGATGACGCTATCGCTTGTGTTGTGATCGAAACATCGTAGTTTTTTGTTTATTTTATTTGAACTTATCTACGTTAGTTTAACACGTAGGCTTTTGTGACCAATATTATTCATAATAAACGTGTTTGGGATTTAGATCGCGTGATTTATAAATGTGTCGTAACCCTCCACCACCCGACACGGCCAATCAGCAAAAAAGTGTCACGTTGACAAAAGACAAATAGTTCACTGCTTTAGCCCACCGGTGTGTTGAAGCGTGAAACCACAACAATTTACAGTTTTTGAGTTCGACGTTTCGCTGGTAATTACATCCAGCATCATTGGGCAATTAACTCTTCAACATACCGCTGGGCTAAAGCAGTGAACTATTTTGTCATTTGTCAACGTGACACTTTTTTGCTGATTGGCCGTGTCGGGTAGTGGAGGGTTACGACACATTTATAAATAACGCGAACTATCTACGTGACTTTAACAAAAGACCCAAAGAATATCAAAGCGTATTTACTTTACAACTACAAAGCACAGCAATATCATCATTATTTAAAGCTCTCGTGACTGCAGGGATTCATATTCTTGGTTCTTTCGGTAAAGTCACATAGAAGGAAAATAATAAAATAATATAAATATTAAACAATAATAGATATTTTTTTATATTTATATTATTTTATTATTTACCTTCTACTTGACTTTACCGAAAGAACCAAGAATATAATATCATCATTGATTAAATCATTGTATATTGTTTTTTTGTGCCCTAACAGGTACTGCCCGTGCTCGTGTCCATAAAACAGCCAATGTCCTGACATCGCCCAGGCACAATGAATAGTTCTAACATCTCCAACAACTCCGTATGCAAGTTGAACGAGTCGTACAAATTCATCTACCTGCCGATCGCCTACTCCATCTGCGCCTTCTTTGGGCTCACGCTCAACGGGTTCGTCTTCTGGCGCCTCGCTTTCAAGACGAAGACATTGAGCTGCAACTCCATCTACATCCTCAACCTGGCTGTGACAGACTTCTTCTACGCCATCTCGCTCATCTTCCTGATCCACAGCTACATCATCCAAGACGTCTGGGTTTTCGGCGACGTCATGTGCCGCCTCATCCGGTTCCTGTTCTACTTCAACCTCTACAGCAGCATCCTGTTCCTCACGGCCATAAGCATGTACCGATACCTGGGCATCTGCCACCCCATCTCGACCCGTGGCTGGCAGCGGCAGAGATTCGCCGTTGCCATCTGCACTGGCATCTGGGTGGTCACGTTGCTTGAGACGGTGCCGTACCTCTACTTTGGCGGCGTCACCAAGTTGAACCCGAACGACGACGAATGCTGGGACTTCGTGCCCGACAAGGCGGCACAGCATCTGCCCTACGGCATCGTTCTCACCGTGCTGGGCTTCATCATCCCCTTCTTCGTCGTCCTCGTCTTCTACTCCTGCATCATCCACACGCTGAAGAAGTCCTTGAACGAGGCCATCATCCCGCAAACGCATATGAGGACCAAGCGGAGGAAGTCGATCTACACCATCGCGGTGGTGTTCACCATCTTCGTCGTCTGCCACCTGCCCTACAACATCAACAAGCTGATCTTCTTCCTGTACCAGGGCAGCGTGGTGGAATGCGGGGCCGAAGTGGTGTCCAAGGCCTACAAGGCGGTGCGTCCTCTGGCCAGCCTCAACTGCGCCCTCAACCCGACTCTGTACTTTGTGAGCTACTTCAGATCGCATCGGAACAGACGCACACGGTGTTTGGCCACTGTCAGGGCCAACTATGGTTCGAACACTCCGTCGATCCCAAATAACACCCAGACATCTTCCTCTCCAATCGGCGACAGGTGAAAGAGGCAGGCGGCGGGTTAAGCTCGCCCAGGTCACCTCACGTGGGTCTGCCACTTGAATTGTGAGCCGCGTTGCGTGGGCCACCTACGTCACGGAGGGGTGGCCAACCTGCGTCTCCGGAGCAGCCGACATTCTGGCTCGTTGGCTTCCCGCTTGTGTCCGTCGCCTGCTGCGTGTGTGTACAAGCAGCTCTGCTTGTGATGTGACTCTCGGACTATTTGGGTCAAAGACTGAAAAAAAAAACTAAATGGCTCTTCTTTGAAAGCCTGCTGACCCCTGACCTATGGCAATGTTGCATCTGCCGCATATCTTGCTGGCTCAGGTATTGTCCGCAAGCACCGGGAACCGACGATTAAGGACTGCCCCGCAGTGCCCCTTAACCGCCAAACGATGCGGCGCTGATGCAGTGGAGGGATCCGAAATGCATTCCTGCCATTCGAGGCCTCATAGAATGAGAACGCGCGCGTAGTATGTGCAATCTGACCTGGATTATCGATTGCTGCACTCATCTTTGTTATTGGTGTGGTCTCATGGTTAGCGCACTGACCACCAATAAAGAAAGCATTGCGCTCCGCAGACAGGGTTGCATTTAATTTTACGTAATGTGTTCATGTCCACTGGCTCTTGTTGTTACTGGTCCCTGCTGCGGTGCAGTGGTCAGCACACTGCGACTTGCAATGCAGAGGTGGCCGGCTCGATTTGAATCAATCTGAAACAACGGTGCAAGATTGTTAAATCCCCCCCCCCCCCCAACAACCCCGCCCCCACACGTCTGTCCACCCAGTGGTATAAATGATAAACCACAGTTGATTGGCAGGTCGCATGCATGCATGTATGTTGAACTTCTTTCACACCGTACGTAGTCAACTACGCTAATCGGAGGTGCGGGGTAAGGACAACAAATTAACACAAAAAGCACTGATCAAGAAAGTAATTTGTCAATCTAGATGATGATGTAAAAGTGCATGTCTACGGTGGCTTCCTAATATCGGAAGGAAGAGCGTTCCAGACGGCCGCAGAAGCACATCTGAAAGCATGCGATACGGTGCCCGCCTTTGTTCGATGGTTAGCCAAACGCCACTGCTGCGTGGATGAGCGGAGTTCGCGTGATGGTGTTATGCTCCTTAACAAGATCATCAAGGTATCGTGGTTCATTTGTGGAAAGCACTTTGCGTGTAATGAGTGCGGGTACTCCCACCTGTTACAAGGTGTCTGGTCATAAAATCAAGGGCTCTGCAGAGCTCCCTGTAGAGAGGGGTACATTCAGTGCCCGATTATCTTAGTAGCAAAAGTAGCTACATATGTGACGGGCCCTGCACTTTCAAGGGCCCCGCGACAAATGCGTTCAAGCTATTCATTCCGGTTCAGTGATTCTGCACTTGCTCTATTACTATAGTACTATACTGCGTTCAACTTTTATGAACGACTGGGTGTTTTAAGGTTAGCGATTTTTCGTATTATCTGGCTGTATAGCAAATAAAAGTATACACTTACTTTACTATGCAAGTTAAAAATGGGTGTTTTAATATTATGTTTTTTTTTTATTTAGGGCTCCTTTATAACATATGCTACATGCCCCGTACTGGCTTAATCCGGCACTGGGCACGTTCATGCGTACTTGGCCGGCCTAATTTCCAAACCGCTGTGTAAATATATATTTATTATTTCAAGAGTGTAAAGCTTGAGTGTCAGCCTTAACTGGTTTCTTTATCTGGCTTTGTGCCACGGCAAGGAAGCGTGTTGTCACCGCGATGCATCCCTGGCACACGGCGTCGGGACCATAGTCGTCACATGAAATGCTCTCCCAACTTTGTTTGTAAATTTTAGCAATAGCAATTACGTGTGGTTTTAATAAGCTGCTTTCCAAGACCGATTAGTGTCGTTTTATGAGTGTGGCCAACGAAGTGCAATTATGTTTATGTATATACAAAAGCCGTACGAATATTTGTTTGGGTCGTGTTGTGAATTCAACCGGAGTATGTACTTTATCCGTAGCCATGCCTGTAATTTATCGTTGGCCGTGTTTCTGGAATCTAAATTTTGATTTAAAAAATCATTGGCATACAAAAAGAATGTCAACAATGACTCGAATTAAAGCATTTGTGACTGCAGGAATTCATATTCTTTGGGTCTTTCGGTAAAGTCACGTAGATAGGTGAAATTTTAAAATAAAAAAATTAATAAAAGTAAAATAAAAAATAAAATAAAAATCACGACGTTTCGGAGGCAACACAAGCTTCCGTCTTCAACGAAAAACTGGTCATAAAGGTTTAAAATGGGCATAGCGTAGCCCATTTTAAACCTTTATAAACAGTTTGCTTTGAGAAGCTAACCCCCTTTTCCTGTTGATAACCGCTTGTGTTTCGATCGAAACGTCGTCGTTTTTTGTTGTTTTCTTTGAACCTATCTACGTGACTTTACCGAAATACCCAAAGAATACCAACAATGACGTTTATATGTGGAGTCTTAAAAAAAGTACGTAAAAAAATACTGGGATTAAATATACGTTGCGTGATTATAGCTCCGCATTAGTTAGTTAATCTTATTCATCCCACCATGGGACATGAAGCCGCAATCAGTTCCCTCCACTTCTTCACGTCCTTAGCAACATGTTGAGCCTCGCCCCAAGAAAGGTTGACTGCTGGTAGCAGCTCATCCTTCGCGGTCTTGCGCCACGTGGCCTTGGGCAAGGCCTAGTATCTAATAAGCCACTGTAGGCAATCTGCCTTGGGCCTACTCACTCACCCACTCACCCAGCCACCCTCTGACCCAGCCACCCACTGACCCAGCCACCCACTCACCCAGCCACCCACTCACCCAGCCACCCACTCACCCAGCCACCCACTCACCAACTCACACACTCACCCAGCCACCAACTCACTCATTCACCCAGCCACCCACTCACCCAGCCACACACTCACCCAGCCACCCAATGACCCAGCCACCCACTCACCAAGCCACACACTCACCCAGCCACCAACTCACTCATTCACCCAGCCACCAACTCACTCATTCACCCAGCCACCCACTCACCCAGCCACACACTCACCCAGCCACCCAATGACCCAGCCACCCACTCACCAAGCCACACACTCACCCAGCCACCAACTCACTCATTCACCCAGCCACCAACTCACTCATTCACCCAGCCACCCACTCACCAAGCCACACACTCACCCAGCCACCCAATGACCCAGCCACCCACTCACCCAGCCACCCACTCACCCAGCCACCCACTCACCCACCCACACACTCACCCAGCCACCAACTCACTCATTCACCCAGCCACCCACTCACCCAGCCACACACTCACCCAGCCACCCAATGACCCAGCCACCCACTCACCAAGCCACACACTCACCCAGCCACCAACTCACTCATTCACCCAGCCACCAACTCACTCATTCACCCAGCCACCTAGACCATATTATCCAATAATCCACAGTAGGCACTGTGCCGAGGGACTACAAAAACCTTAATTTGGCCCTGGTCTTGGTCTCCCAGGTTTCCTTTTGCCCGCTGGTGTCGATCTCAGGGCATTTTTTGGTATAGGGCCAGGACCACTGAGCTACATTTTTCTGAGAGTTATTCTTGTAGCCAATTAGCTGTGCCCATGCTCGCATTTAAACGCGCTCGCCGGTATAATTGTTATTGCGCTCCTCAATCATCGAGGGTCTGCGACGTGGTGTCAACGTGACCGTGTTATTAAAATAAAAACAATAAACACTGATGACGCATTCTACGTTTCCGGCCACTTTGTAAACTTAACTATTTTTTACGTCACCAGGTGAAGGCCCCACTGAGTTAGGTAGCTCCCTTTCAGAAGAAATCTGTCCACAGAAGATAGCTCAACGAAGTGGCTTGTCGTGTGGAAATTTATAGCAGCCAATTACTCTAAACGCACATTTCTGAATGTTGAGGGAGGACCGGGAAAAAAAAATCCATGCGACTACGGGAAGAACAACTCCACATGTACCGGCGTCAGAGTCGGGATCGACTCCACGACCTCATGTATACCAGGTGAGGTAGTTGACATCTCGCCACCTTGCCACCCTACACAGGTGAGCAGTAAATGTCTGAAATTTCAATTTACGGGCGCCAGGAATGGCAGCACAGTGGTTGCACTTATGCCACACAGCAAGAAAGACCTTGGCTCGATTGTCGACTCAGGAGTTGTTGTTTTTATCTCCCTCTATTCCGCAAGGGATTCCTCCGGGTTCCCCTGCTCCCTTGCACAGCTACAACAATATTCGATGGGAATGGTATTGGCCGAACATCCTAATGCTGAAAAACGATCCGCAAATAGCTCGAAACATTTCTCTTTCGCCTTCATCCCTCGCACGGCTCCACTTTGGATTCACTCCCCCATCGTCTGATTTCCAAACTCTCTCTCTTAATAATGTACTCTTTGGTTCTTTCGGTAAAGTCACGTAGATAGAAAATTATTAATAGATCACGACGTTTCGATCGCAACACAAGCGACCGTCCTCACCAGGTTATTTCGATAAAGTCACGTAGGTGAAAAAAAATAAGAATAAAAAAATAGAAATAACTCAACTAAATCACGACGTTTCGGAAGCAACACGAGCTTCCGTCATCAGGTGGGAAAACCACAGCAAGAAACAGCAATTACTGTAGCGGGCAACACTATTTTTCGTCATTCACGAAATCACAGTGTTTTGCATTATAACATGTATTACCCATGGCCGTATACATAAACGGGCACTCCACGTAGCACCATCACTCGCTACTGCAACAGCACTACCTATTCTCGTGAATCTTGAGCCCTCCCGGCTGCGAGGACGCCATCTCCTGGCTTGCCAGGGCACACTGCAGTACGGCAAAGTTGATCTATTTTTCCATCCGTATTTGATCTGTGCGGGGTTTGAGCATTTCTCTCCTCTGCAACAATGGGGTTTTTCTCTGGGTACTTCTGTTTTCTCCTACGTGTATAAGGGATCGTCCATAAATGACGTCACGCGATTTTTGCCGATTTTTACCCCCCCCCCCCTCGTCACACGGCGTCACAAAAAGTCAGACCCTCCTCAAATATGACGTCACAAAGCTCTGCCCCCCCCCCCCCCCAAAACCATATTTCCATTTTGAAAATAAAACATGGTTCAAATCGCTTTAAACTATTGTCATTGTAGTGCGTTTTTAATGTGGTGCTGCATTCTGATGTTGTAGGAGAAAACACGTATTAAAAAGGAGGCGTTGGAAAGCTGAAATGGAGCATTACATTCACTTGAAAATATTAAACGTCTAACTAAAACTGCAGATGTTCAGAATATTATATTGAAATTCTCTTATAAAATATTAAACGTAATTATAACTATAAAAAAAACTTTAAACTTTGTAGTAGAACGAAGCAAAATGGAGAGTACAATTATAACAATCACATATTCATTCCACAGAATGAAAAGCCCTGGTAGAATAATTAAAATCTAAATGTTTAAAAACAATCATTCAAAAAAATTACAAAATGTATGCTTCTCCATTATCCCATGGAGAAGCAAAATACTCCTTCATGGAATAAATAAAGGTGACCTTAGTAAAATTAAATAATCAAATAGTTAATAATGAAAATTAATCCAAATTAGTGTTGTTATAACAATTATATTGTTTATATTTATTTGAAGCTGCGCATTTTGATGTGACGTCACATTTCTCAAACCCCCCCCCTACCCCCCTCATCACATATCGTCACAAATGTCTGACCTCCCCCCCCCCCCCGCTGTGTGACGTCATTTATGGACGGCTCCTAAACACTTATTAATACATATTATTGGTTCTTTCGGTAAAGTCACGTAGAATGAAAATAATAAAATAATATTAATCAAACAATTAAATTCTCACGACGTTTAATTATTTTATTATTACCCTTCTACGTGACTTTACCGAAAGAACCAATAATATGAATCCCTGCAGTCACGAAAGCTTTAAATCGAAACTTATTAATACAGTTCGCCAAAGATCCCAATGTAGGCCCACAGAGATTGGACAATTCTTGGCGGCGTAAGTTTAACTAAACAATTTGTATTTGACCATCAAAGCCCCACTGAGATACGTAGCTCTTTTTCAGAAGCGATCTGGCGACCACAAATTATAGTTTTCGATTTAAAGCTTTCGTGACTGCAGGGATTCATCTTCTTGGTTCTTTCGGTAAAGTCACGTAGAAGGGAAGTAATAAAATAATAAAAATAGTAGGAGACTTGCAGCGGAGCAAAGGATCCATTCCCTGCGGAGTCAATGCCAGTGCCTTCCAATGATTGCTGAGCCAGAATCCATCTTCTCGGTTGAAATTTTCTCTGTGTTTGTATATGTGGATCGCCTCATGAACGAATCTCTCATGGTAGCCGGATGGCTTGCAGAGAACCTCTGTCTTGGAAAAGTCAATGTCATGTGAGCCCACTGAATTGTGGCAGATCACAGTTACAATTCAGTGGGCTCACATGACATTGACTTCTCCAAGACAGAGGTTCTCTGCAAGCCATCCGGCTACCATGAGAGATTCGTTCATGAGGCGATCCACATATACAAACACAGAGACAATTTCAACCGAGAAGATTGATTTCCTTCTCAGCAATCATTGGAAGGCACTGGCATTGACTCCGCAGGGAATGGATCCTTTGCTCCGCTGCAAGTCTCCTACTATTTTTATTATTTTATTATTTCCCTTCTACGTGACTTTACCGAAAGAAACAAGAAGACACAAATTATAGCTCAATGAAGTTCCTTATCATCACGTGGAAATGTATAGCAGCCAAAATGCTCGAAACGCGTGACGGTGATTCTAAATGTGGAGGGAAAAACTGGAGGGCCCGGAGAAAACTCCGCGCGACAACGGGGAGAGAGACACGCAAACTCCACATATACAGCAGGTGTCAGGGTCGGGATCGAACCAACGACCTCCTGTATGCCAGGCGAGGGAATTAACATCTCGTATACACCGTACTGATGATGAGAGAGAGAGAGAGACACGCAAACTACAAATATACAGCAGGTGTCAGGGTCGGGATCGAACCCACGACCTCCTGTATACGAGGCGAGGTAGTTAACATCTCCTAGCCACCGTACTGATGAGAGAGAGAGAGAAAAAGAGACACGCAAACTCCAAATATACATCAGGTGTTAGAGTCGGGATCGAACCCACGACCTCCTGTACACCAGACGAGGTGGTTAACATCTCTTATCTACCATACTGATGATGAGAGAGAGAGAGACACGCAAACTCCGAATATACAGCAGGTGTCAGGGTCGGGATCGAACCCACGACCACCTGTATACCAGGCGAGGGAGTTAACATCTCGTAGCCACCGTACTGATGATGAGAGAGAGATACGCAAACTCCAAATATACATCAGGTGTCAGGGTCGGGCTCGAACCCACGACCTCCTGTATACGAGGCGAGGTAGTTAACATCTTTTAGCCACCGTACTGATGATGAGAGAGAGAGACACGCAAACTCCAAATATACCGCAGGTATCAGGGTCGGGCTCGAACCCACGATCTCCTGTATACCTGGCGAGGAAGTTAACATCTCCTAGCCACCGTACTGATGATGAGAGAAAGAGAGACACGCAAACTCCAAATATACAACAGGTGTCAGGGTCGGGATCGAACCCACGACCTCCTGTATACGAGGCGAGGTAGTTAACATCTTTTAGCCACCGTACTGATGATGAGAGAGAGAAACACGCAAACTCCAAATATACATCAGGTGTCAGGGTCGGGCTCGAACCCACGACCTCCTGTATACCAGGCGAGGGAGTTAACATCTCTTAGCAACCGTACTGATGATGAGAGAGAGAGACACACACAAACTCCACATATACAGCAGGTGTCAGGGTCGGGATCGAACCCACGACCTCCTGTACACCAGGCGAGGGAGTCAACATCTCTTAGCAACCGTACTGATGATGAGAGAGAGAGACACACACAAACTCCACATATACAGCAGGTGTCAGGGTCGGGATCCAACCCACGACCACCTGTATACGATGCGAGGTAGTTAACATCTCGTAGCCACCGTACTGATGATGAGAGAGAGAGATACGCAAACTCCAAATATACATCAGGTGTCAGGGTCGGGATCGAACCCACGACCTCCTGTATACGAGGCGAGGTAGTTAACATCCCCTAGCCACCGTACTGATGATGAGAGAGAGAGAAAGAGACACGCAAACTCCAAATATACATCAGGTGTAAGAGTCGAGATCGAACCCACGACCTCCTGTATACGAGGCGAGGTAGTTAACATCCCCTAGCCACCGTACTGATGATGAGAGAGAGAGAAAGAGACACGCAAACTCCAAATATACATCAGGTGTAAGAGTCGAGATCGAACCCACGACCTCCTGTACACCAGGCGAGGTAGTTAACATCTCTTAACCACCGTGCCCTGTGGGTTTTCCATATCTCGGAATAAGACCAAAAAAGTGAACGTCACAAATGAGTGTAAATATATATACTATATAGATATTTACTTTTTATTTTTTTGTGATGAGAAAAGGATAATTGGAGTAAGCGATAAATAGTGCCATTCCATGCATCGAGTTGAATGCAGCAAATTAGATCAAGAGAGCATTGCAATCGCGGAATTTAATATTTCCTACACTTGGCTAATGTAGCAGTCGTGGCTAGGCAATTGAGAAAAATTCGAACGCGTAATTTCTGTTGTGCTTTTCCAAAC